ACCCAGGCTCGGAGTTAGATATGATGGCCTGTAAGTAAATCTACATGGCACTTGATACATATGCTGATCGGTATAGCTATAAGATTGAAAGTTGGGGTCAAGTTCTCTTGAAGCTGTCAGCGGGACCTGACATCTATCGTAACACTATAACCCTAGTGGAACTCTCAGGACAAAACACAATGGAAGACCTGGATGTAATTCCAACACCATGGCAGATGGACAACTTCATAATTTATAAGAAGATGATTGAGAATGATATCAAGGCACGCGAAGGTGAAGCTGCTTACAAAGAATACAAGTCTTCGGAAGGGAAAAAAGAAGCAGCTCGAAAGGCTTTCGTTTCGAAATTGAAGTCGTACGACCAGCCTGCATTTAAGTTGCTCGATTGTACGACTCACAGACTTGAAAATGCATTTCCGCTTCCACTATCATTCGAAGCATAACTAACCACAACATCTAAAGTATGCTTAGTTTGAGGATACATACAACGCATAGAGCCAAAACGACGTTGTGATTGACATGAGAGGAACGGGTGTTAGAGGAGAGTAGGAGAAAGAGCGAGCCCCTTTATGATTATAACGAGGTATGACACATAATATAATGTAACGAATTGACGAATCAAGATAGATATGATGGTCCTCCGTGATAGCGATTCCAATAGCATTCTATTCTCACCTACTCAGGTAGATTTTCCATATAAAACAATAAAGCCATTTTAGACATTGAAAGAGCATTTGACTGGATTTGATCTTGACCTATCTATATGAAGAAAAGAAAGATCAAGATTGATCACTAACGAGACTCTTCACCAATTCAATTATTCCATTTCCATTCAGAGAATTTAGATATTAAGTAGTATTGTATTTGCATACTATTTAAGGATTTAGTTAAAACTACCCATCCTCATAAAAAATTGTAGTTGATTTATTATAGAATTTATTAGGGTGATCAGAAATGGCATCTTTTTTCTCATAGATATAGCATGTGCATAGGTTATGGGATTGGCTGGTTGCCGTAGTTAGTGCAAAATGAAATCACGTGGCCAATATACCTGGAGAAAAATCTCAATTCATTTTCAGACTTCACTTCTCACCTCACCTTCCCGTCGGAACCTTCCTGGTTTAATAATTTGAGGTTCTTTCCAATTTGAGATTTTAGACCAGCAAGTGAATTTTATCGACAAATATGGCTAGCTTAGAAAGCAACGAACAAGGTTCGTCACCTCGAAAGAGGCAGAAGCTCGATTCTTCTTTAGCTACCCCCATCACTACAACTTCTTCTTCTCAATTGAATATCACAACCAGTTCGAATCCAAACAACAAAATGGAGATTGAACAGCCAAGCCAAAGTTTGGTCTCTGAAGTTCCATTATCTTCCCGACCCGAACATGCTCAAGAAGTTCGATCTGGAATTCTTCATTATGTTAACAAGAAAAACCCTGGGTTTCAAGGTATATTGAAGCAGAGGTGTGTTTGTTTGTCTTTCCTTGCTTTCTCCAGTTTGATGCGATGTTTGCCAATACTGCAGTTGAAGACGATTGCTTTTACAATTTTGTTGTTTACTCCTTCACAACTATGGTGCTTATCTTCCAAATTCCGTTTGAGATGTCCCATTACTTTTATTTGGCTTCTCATCACGGTCAAACGGATTGTAATTATTGCCAGTATGGCTATACGATATTGTTGATATTGTAACTTTATCTTCACTTTGAACTCTAGCTAATTATGGTGCATTAGATACACGGATTTCCTGGTCAACGAAATCTCCTTGGGAGGCGAGGTGGTTCATCTTAAGAATATTAAAGCTCCTCAAAGCAACCAGCGCGGAGTGAGTTGTTACCCCCAAAAGATATCTTAGATCAATCTGCCATTTTCTAGCAGAACGCAAAACTAATGGCTGTGAACAGAATGCAGAAAATGCCATTACCGTTTCAACAGAAATTGGTAAAGAGAACCAACCAACAGTAGGTGGTTTGGAGCAGACTGAATCAGTACAACCTACTTCTACTGGCTCTGCTGCAGCTGAAAGTGCGGCTCTCGCGGATGTCACAAACAACAGCGGTCCTGTGGCTCCAAGCACTTCAGCTACTGCAGTCAGTGATGATGTTACAGCACAGCCATCAGCTGAAGAGTCAAATGTCGTAAATATCAAAGAACTTCGACCTAACGATATGGAAATTCTTGTTGAATACTTTGGCGACGCTCTGGCACTCCAGATCATCGAGTTGGACAAAAAGATTCAGCAGAAGCCCAATGCCAAAGCTGCTACATTTGGTTCCCTAAAATCAGAACCAATTGACGACAGACCCCGCCGTGGACGCATTCATGGCTTTGTGCGTGCGCGTTTTGAGTCGCGTCTAGAGACTGAAGCTTTGGATGACAATTCTATCAGTATCTTCGCAGCTGCTCCACAGCAGCAACAACGTGGCAAAGGACAAAATCAACGAGGTAGAGGTCAAAATAATGTCAGTCGCGGCAACTTTCGGGGTCAACCAAATGGCCAACCCAAACCAAAGGGAAAGGTTGGATGGGAAGAACTTGGTGGGGAATATCTTCACTTCGCGCTTTACAAGGAAAACAAGGACACCATGGAGACTATTAATTTGCTGGCTAAGTTGACTAGGACTGGCCCCAAAGACTTTGCCTACGCAGGTACTAAAGATCGCCGTGCAGCCACCGCACAGCGTGTTAGTGCTTTTCGACACCATGTCACAAGCATGGCTGAGCTCAACAAGACGTTAAGAAATCGATGCAGAGTTGGTGACTTTAAGTATGAAAAGTATCCACTCAGACTAGGCGATCTCGAGGGTAACGTTTTTACCATCACACTGCGCGATTGCCATTTCGGAGACGATACTGATATGGATGATGCCACAAAGGTTCAATCGGCAGAAAAAGTTGTTGGTGATGCTATTAAACACCTGCAAACCCGCGGTTTTCTCAATTACTTTGGCTTGCAACGTTTTGGCACCTTTGCAATCGGTACACATGAAATCGGCAAACTGATTTTGAAAGGTAACTTCAAAGGTGCTGTCGATTCTTTGCTCGCGTTTAACGAGGATGCACTTGCAGCAGCCCAGTCAGGCCAAGAGAGCAGCACCATTGGTAGAGATGATATGGCGCGTGCCCTTGCTATTCATAAATTTCGGGAAACCGGCAGAAACTCCGGTGGCAGGGACTCACTTCCACCAAGATTTTCTGCAGAGCGAGCTATCATTCAACACATGTCTTCTGAGCGCAAGCGCAACGACTATGCGGGTGCTGTACTCTCCATTTCACGCCATCTTCGTACTATGTATGTGCATGGGTACCAATCTTTCATTTGGAATATTGTAGCCTCCAGAAGATGGGAACGCTATGGAGATAAAGTCATTGAAGGTGATCTTGTTTTGGTAGAGAACAAAGCTCCGGAGCAAAAAGATGAAGTTGATGAAAATGGAGAAATTGTGATTCACGCTTCTGGAGGGGACGCCGCACTTACTTCCGATGAAGTGTTCCAGCGTGCACGCTGCCTTTCGGCTGAAGAAGCTGACAGTAGAGCCTTTACGATATTCGACATTGTCCTTCCTATGCCAGGTTATGACATCGAATACCCCAATAACGAAATTGGAGACTTTTACAAGGAGTTCATGGCTAGCGAGCCGGGTGGTGGTCTGGATCCTGCCGATATGCGCCGAAAGATCAAGGACTTTAGTCTTAGTGGTAGCTATAGACACCTTATTGGCCGAGTCAAAGAGGGCATGAGTTTCGAAGTCAGAACTTATCACGATGAAAATGAACAGCTAGTCGAGACTGACTTGGAGACCATCGAGAAGAACAATCCTGAAGATAATGAGCCTTCCCACATTCAAACAACACACGTCTTCGCTAGGAGAGAAGGCGACCCACACGGCTATGCAAAATTCCAAGAGAATAACCGTCATCAGAATGACAATCAACAGGAGAACGGACATCGAGACAATGGCGCTCAGTACAGCCAAGGTGGAAGACAACAAGGTGGACGTGCTCGTCACATGGCCGATGCTGCAGAACAAGGTCGCCAAAATCTGGCTGTCTATGGTGGTAGTGCTCAGCATGATGCTTGGAAAGCACTACCCAGCAAACTTGCCGAAGAAGACAAAGCTGCAGCTGAAGCATGGGAGGTAGAAAAATTGAAGCCTGTCGATGTGGATACTATCAAGCAACCAATCTACAAAGAAACATTCATCCAAACTTCTGCGGATTATGAGGGTCGTCGCACCGGAGTTAGAACTCAACAAACTCTCGGTTCGAAGAATGAGCTTATTGAAAAAAACATCTTGGATAACAGAGTGGCAGATATCAAGACAAAGTCAAAGGTTCAGGTCACTGAAACTCCATTGTCCGAATCTGATGATGACACTGAGACTCAAGAGGGAGGCATGAAACTGGAAGTTTCGGCTGGTCTTAAAAGATCCGCTGATGAGATCTCGAAGGGACCTGTTGGCGGAAGCAAGAAAGATCAAGTAGTCATCAAAGTTGTGGAAGTTGACGATAAGAAAGACGGCAATTCCGCTGTGATTTCTACTGAGATCACAGAAGACACCAAATCATCCGAATTACCTCAACCAACATTTACCGACACTGAAATGACAACCGTACCAGCTGTAGAGGCAGTCACCGAGGAAGCAAGACCTGCTCGACTTGCAGTAATTGTCAAATTTGGTCTCGGCTCAAGTATGTATGCTACAATGGCTCTTCGGGAGTTGATGCAGCAAGGAGGCGTCCAGGTCTACCAACCAGACTTCTCTTCCGGCAGATAGTTTTTTTAATACGTTGAAAGCGTTTGTTACATAGTTGGAGGTTGGAGTTTGTGGCAAAAATTTCTGTGATCAGATCTGGTTTGATTTGTTGCTCATCGAATAGAGAGGTTTATTCTATGATGCATATGAAAGTCATGGACTAGAAATACTGAGCATTGATTTGTTGATAGATAGACTCTATATCTCTGAATGAGGCATGAATAAAAGTACATGTTTTAAGAATGAAATTCATAACACAGTACCTTAATGTAAATTTTGACATGAATAATGTTTCATCCCCCTTGTTCATATCTTACAATTACTTTTCATACCTTGATAATACAATGAGGCGCGAGTGTCCATTATGCTTCAAATTATCTATTCAATATATCGAGCTGAGTGTAATTTTGACAGCTCGATCATACAATTTGACATTGCATGACCAACCCCAAGCCACGCATTGTTTCAACAGTCTGGAGGGACCCGGTGCGTCTGACACATGATGTCCGACTCTTCAAGATAGGCATTATATTGCCGTGTCGTGTGGTTAAGGATGATCTAAAAAGCTTCTGGCTGGAATAATATCCAAGGACACCGAATGAGGTATCGTATGTTCCATCCCAATCTCTAGATCCCGTACAGTTTACACATGCATCTACACCTCCTCTCATCTCTAAATCATTAACAAAAATAAAATAACAGAATCCAGATCACTTCTATCTCGAAATCTTCAAACAATCACACAATACAATACAATCTACACCTGTCCGCCAACCCGTTCCCCAAACACCGAGTAGAAATTAGACTGCGTAACATGGCTTTTCCTTCCCGTTCTCTCATCAAAGATATGGCAGCCCTCTCTTGCCGCATTCGGTGGCGTGTAGAGATGTAAACTCACAGCTACGTTTTCGGGATCGGGATTAGATATCCGGTGGAGGCCGAGATCGTCGGACATGTAGGTTACTTGGTTTGTGGTGTAGGTTGTGGTTTTTATTATTGTGGGGGGAGTACTGGGAGGCTCGGATGAGGAAAATGTGGAGGAGGTGGAGGAGGTGAATCCGGATGCGGAGCTGGAGGTGGAGGTGGATGGGAATGTGTATTGGGTTTCGGAGAGAGTTCCCGATAGGACTTTCATGAGACAATGCGCATCTGCGTGGTCGTGCAGGGGCGAGCCTTTTCCGGGACTCCAGACGAGGATTAGCTAGGGAGAGAGTTGTGGTTAGTTTGGTTTAGTTTGGCGGTATCAAGAGTGGACATGAGAGGGGTAGGGGTCTCGTACCAAATTACTCTTCCCGTTTCCTTCGTCTACTAAATTTCTCGTGTAGCCTCTGCTTAGATCTGCAAATGCGTATTTTCGCCATTCGTCTTCGTGGGAGATGTACCGCTCCATTAGGGAGCGAAGTTGCTGTACATCTACGTCTGCGGATGTGAGGCCGGAGGATGGCCCGAGAATTTGGGAGAGATCTGCGACGAGTTGATGGAAGGAGTCGGGTGGCGAGGAGGTTTTGGTGGAGGAGAGAGAGGTTGAGCATGCGCCGGTTACATCGATAGCTATCGAGGGAGTCATTTTGGGTATGTAGTGAACGATTGAAGGTAATTTCTAGCTGGATAGGTGATTTTCCCAAGGAGTGAGGTTTTTCGAACGAAATGTGTGAACTCTGTGAATATGATGATACAAGCAAGCTGAAGGTATTGAAAGGAGAGGAAACTGTATGTACGTGTATAATAAATACATGAAATAAATAAGATAAAATCCTAAAAAAACGACTAAATGATTGTATGTACGAGAAAAAAAAAACAAATAAACATTCTTCAAAGTAAATTACAAGTGAAGTCAAACTTTTGATCACATCATCGGACATTCTTTCCGGGGTCCTAGCAAGCATATCAAATGCCCCTCCATTCCCATTCGGTTAGCATATAATTAATACTGAGATCAAAAAGTCACGCTCTGCTAATTATAACAACATCCAGCTTCAGACGTCCATCCAGCTCTTCATCGCAACGAAAAACGAAACATAAATCCAGTATTCTATATCCCCCAAACTATCACCATGCCACCAGCCAAGAAAGCCGCCGGGAAAGGAGGAAAAGGAAAAGCAAACGACGCGGGCGATGCGAAAGAAACGAAAGTTAAAGGAGCCCAGCAAATTAATGTTCGACATATACTTGTGCGTCACCTGATTTTTGAATCTTTCCTTTGTGACAAGGAATGATCAGTGGGTGGGATATTGATATGTATATCTATAATAGTGCTCCAAACATAGTAAAATGACGGAGGCTCTCCAGAAATTAGAGGCGGGCGCAAGCTTTGATAGTGTGGCTCGGGAGATGTCTGAGGATAAGGCGAGAGCTGGTATGTTTTTTTTTTCTTGTTCGCTGGGTCACTTTTGTAGAAATTTCCTTCGGATGGGGGGATTTCAGGCAGAGAAGCTGACAAGGAGGTTTATTTTAGGAGGTGCATTGGGATGGAAGGGGAGGGGAGATTTAGATGCCGAGTTTGAGAAGGTGGCTTTTGAGATGGAAGCCAGTACTACGGCGAAGCCGAAGTATAGAGAAGTGAAGACGGGGTTTGGCTATCATATTCTTATGGTTGAAGGGAGGAAGTAGGCAAGAGCAATCGGATGGAGGGGCATACAAATATTGGAGGCGAATTCAAAACAAGAGAGACTTTGGTGAATGGGATGCTCATTGTAAGGGGCGATGAAATTACTAGCTGAAGGGTGTTGGGCGTTGTTTGCGGTATCTCAATGGAGTGCACGAAAAGGTTCTAGATGAGCCTATGGATAGGGCTGAGAACCTAGCTTCATATAGAATTAACGATTATTCTCCACAAACGACGGAAGCGTAAGTCAAAAGATGCGACGCGACCCGTAAAAGGTTGTAAAATAGGCCATTCAAGATGCATATTCACGTGAGTTCACTGTTCGAAAAAAGACGAAATTTTGATGCTCCATAGCCAATGTCATTGCCACCAGTAATCCACGCTATATGTGTGTAAATCCGATTGATACAATGTATGTCCGCTGTAGAAACTCCATCTCTGTGGCGTATTTATTGCTCGGTTTGGAAGTAGTTGAGGAGCATGGTGCGCTCTTGAGACTCCTCACCCCAATCCTTAACGACAACGCAGGAGCAGTTGACAACCTTGCGTGCGTTACCCTCACGGTCCAAAACACCTAAGTATTTGTCAGTGATAGTCCCAGCTAATTGTATACCGGATCTACTTACACAAACCAGCCCACTCGCCCAATTGCTTTCCGTCTGGAACCTTGATCAAGGGGATCTTGTGCTCGGAGCAGAGAGCAACGACCAACTTCTTGTATGCTTCCTCCTCACATGCCTCGTTGAGAACACACATGTGTGCTTGGCGACGGTCGAGAGCCTTGGAGGCTTCACGGAGACCTCTGGCGAGACCATCGTGCATAAGTGCGAGCTTGAGAACACCCTTCAATGCGTCGATAACGGACATTTGTCCCTTGGATGCATCTCCAGAAACTTCGACCTCATCGGCCTCGGCGACAATTGGGGAGGTTGGCTCTTCTACGTCAGACTATGAGGGGATGATTGTTAGCGACGATTACTTCATGTAACATACCCATCCCATTGAATTTTGGTGGGGGGTAGATCCCAGGTATGCGACTTCATTGCGCCAATGGCGCAAACAATCGATGAACCTTTTCGACCGAGAAACAACAAAAAGATCAACTTACCATCTTGATTGTGATGATATCTTTAGGTCCTCGAAGAGTATGTTGATATATTTGGATTTTAATGTATGGAGAAAATTAGCTTCAGAATCTTGTGTTGTAATTATTCTGCGTTTAGCGAGACCCTAGCACAGGCGACCAATTAGGTAATCACAAAAGTTCCCACAATGAATTTTAAAATTCTCCATAGTAAATTTTGATTGAAAATCCCACCACCTTGAAATTTATCCCGAATTTCCTTCTCACGACAACTTCAACGCCCATTCTATAACGAGGTGTGTAAATATTGCTACGATGGCAATTTTCTCAGAAAGTCCTTCATGATTGACAAAGAGGAGCAAATCGATCATCTACTCAACTGTAATTGTGGTATTCTTTGGTTTTGACAATCAACAAGCTTCGGCCTACTTTGTTTAACACCATGAATCCATAGCACTTGAAAGATGTCGACACTACTCATTCTATCATTCGACACGAGCTTTAGAACCCTCTTGTCAATCATGAGGGCACTCTTTATGCTCAAGAAATCTTGGAGGCTAACATATCGACCTTGTAGATACCTCATCTTTGATCAAGCAGATTATTTGAGAATCTCTATCCGTCAAAATGGTTAAGACTTCAGTCCTCAACGATGCGCTCAACGCCATCAACAACGCTGAGAAGGCCGGAAAGCGTCAAGTTCTCATCCGCCCATCCTCCAAGGTCATCGTCAAGTTCCTCGGTGTCATGCAAAAGCACGGTATGTCGACAAATATATTTTCTTATTCCTTCATTCGGCATGATAACTAGATAATGATCTCAATTCCACACGATCAAAGTCCTTTAAGTTGCCGATATATCAAACTGCGCGGATCTTACACGTTCTCTGATTATTATTTATGAAGTTATATGTTTAATCTTTCGCAACATACTAATGTCTTTCTTCAGGCTACATTGGAGAATTCGAGGAGGTTGATGACCACCGTTCCGGAAAGGTCGTTGTTCAATTGAACGGCCGGTAAGCAAAAACTTTAACCCTACTATCCAGAACACATCACTAATTTATGATACAGTCTTAACAAGACCGGTGTTATCTCCCCAAGATACAACGTCAAGATTGAGGACTTCGAGAAGTGGGTTGTCAAGCTTTTGCCATCCCGTCAATTTGGACACATCGTCCTCACCACCTCCGCTGGTATCATGGACCACGAAGAGGCTAGACGCAAGCACGTTGCCGGAAAGGTCCTCGGTTTCTTCTACTAGACGAAAACTACCAATAAAGGAATACAAATTATCATGAGAATTGTAGCCATCTAGGGGACCCAGCTTCCGGGGTTGGAGTAATATCTAGAACAGGTCACTGAATATTCCCATTTCGGCCTTGCTTCACGCATGGTTCGAATTCTTCATTTGAAGAATAGATAGGTCTATTACCAAAAGTCAATTTAATCTCATTTCATAATTTTGTTCTCCAATCATGCAAAGTGATATTTGTTTATTTTCATGAAGTTCTAGCTTGATCTGCACAAACGGCACTTCACATTGGCGAAGTTACTCCATTCGATTAAGCAGCAGACAACTCAGGCGATATAATCTAAGGCGCGCGTATAGCGCTACTGTCAGCTTATGGTAGTTTACCCATATGTTATGTTACATCGGCATTGAGCAAATATGTTGTAGCATCTACGAAAACTGCTGAATGTGTAAATCCAAGATGCATGCATGTAGGTGGCGTAAACATCAATATTATTACCTTATCCTAAGCTTTTTTTGGCTTAACCACCGAAGATATTCTTATCTACCTACCTATGCAAAAATTCTTGGAAAATACATCGAGACATAGAAAGATGAATGAAGGAATACATCGCGCCATACCATGGCTTACTTTACTACATCACAAAATGCATTATACCTGATTTCGAGCGTCCTTGACTCCTAGTAGAATCACAACAAAAATACTTCTAAGGTTTCAATCCCGATAGTGAGCAAGCTTTCGTTGGATCGGATTCGCTCACAGTCTCAGACACGACTCCTTTTTGCACAATCGTTCATAACACGAAAAAGGAGTACTATGGACTGTATAATGTGGCGAAATTAACATAATTTTTGCAAGAAAGGGAAGACTGGAACATAGGCTCGGGGTTATTTATCTAGTGAGAGCCTCGAGTCTGGTTCATATGGTAGCATTGTGGTTGTGGCCAGAACGTCTGAAGGAATCCCCACTACAACCAGCAACTTTGGGACGAAAGTATTACAAGAAATACTCGTAACTCACCAACACTTCAGTTCAGCTAAAGAAGAGATAAATATCTTGCGAAACTTTCAATTCGTCGCCACTACTCACACGCATGCGACAAGCAGTTATATTTTATACTGTATTTCCCTTTAGTCTTAATCAAATTCGTACACGACTTTATCCACTCAACTCATATGCGCGTCTCGTCGGCAGGAAGGCCGCATTCGTTGTGCAAGGATAAATTAACAATTATCCAAAGAACAAGGGGGTCTCACGAGCACCCGGAAGTCGCAGTAAAGAGTACAAAGAGTCTGCTTCTGGCCCAACCGTTACGATGGCTGGACAAACTCGTCGTAGGAGCTCTAGTTCCGCATTTCAACATCGCGCCGAACAAGTGCACTTTGTTCCATTCGCCGGACATGATGAGACAAGAAGACCTTCTCTCAGCGCAATGATAATGAAGACGCGGCGGAAAATGAAGTCTCGCCAATTTCTACTGCTGATTAGCATTCTTACCTTGGCTACATTCTCAATATTCTACCTGCGAGCGCCTTTTCCATACCATTCGACTTCTTTCCCATCTTCTAATCAGAAACCGAAACAGCCAAGCATACCGAATCGAATATCTACCTCCATTGAAGATGTCAAGAAACCGCAGGAAGCTTCGTACCATATTGGTCCTTCGCATCCAATTTATCAATTAATCAAGGATAATGAGCAAGCATTCGAGAATACAAGAGCAAAACAATCGAAGACATTGGAGGAAGCAGTGGCAGAATATAGAAAACGATATGGGATACCTCCGCCTCCTAATTTCGACAAATGGTATAATTTCGCAAAGTCAAAAGGTGTAAAACTCATCGACGAATATGACAACATCCATACATCCCTAACGCCATTTTGGGGGTTGAAACCGGAAACAATCAGAGGGAGAGCACGAGAGGCATTGGGTTTTCCTAATAATCTCATAGGATTGTTGATTCGAGGAGGGAAGGTTACAAAAATTGAGGGAGGGAATAAATGGCAACAAGATGCTACGGTGGGAATGATGAAGCCATTTTTGAAGTACCTCCCCGACATGGATCTCTGCTTCAACATTCACGATGAACCTCGTGTGGTTGTGCCATATGAAGATTTGGCCAGGCTAGTACATGTTGCAAAAGATCAGAATATGCCGAATGCGAATTCTGTTGAAGCACCCAGAAACTCATGGTCGCCTAGACCGATTGATGTCGCTAGCGACGGTCTGCGAGTGCCGGAAGTGAAGACTACACGATTCAACGTTTTTTCTCATCAGCCAACTTGGACCCATTCAAGAATGTCTTGCCCTCCAGATAGTGCCGCGAGGAGTCTCAACGATGGACGAAAAGAGGACAATTACGCTAGTTATGCAGTGACGGAGCTGGGATTCGTGTATAACCAAACTGCGTTCTCAGATATTTGCCAATCCCCTTCTTTCAGCGAATCCTTCGGATTTTTCGATCGTCCCAACGCTTTTAACATCGTGCATGACTTATTTCCAATTTTCTCGCAATCAAAGATCTCATCGTTCTCAGATATATTATATCCATCTCCTTGGTACTGGTATGGCAAGGTACCATATGAGGAAACTCAGGACAGGGCATGGAAGGATAAGAAAGACAAAATATACTGGAGGGGCTCGACAACCGGAGGCTTTAGTCGAGATGGTGGTTGGAGACGGCAACACAGGCAAAAAGTGGTACAAAAAGTCAACGCTGTCGATCAAGCAAAGATTTTGGTCAATCGAGGTGAAGATACAAAGGAAGACTGGCAGGTGAAGAGTGTACCGCGAAGTGATTTTAAAGAAATTTTTGATATCTTCTTCTCCCACGTTGGACAATGCGACCCTGGAGATTGCGAAGCTCAAAAGAATTTCTTCGATGTTAAGGAAGCGGCGAAGCAACAAGATGCATGGAAATATAAGTATCTACTTGATATGGATGGAAATGCTTTTAGTGGACGATTTTACGCGTTCTTGAAAAGCAAAAGTCTGGTATATAAAATGGCTGTCTTCAGAGAATGGCATGAGGAATGGCTCAAGCCTTGGATACATTATATCCCTCTGAGTTTAAGAGGCGATGAATGGGTTGAGGCAGTACGATGGTTTGCGGGAGAAGAGGTTGGGAAGAAAGAAGCAGAACGAATTGCCCTTCAGGGAAGAGATTGGGCAGATCATGTGCTCAGGAACGAAGACCTAGAAGTGTGGTTCTTCAGATTAATGCTTGAGTAAGTTTCATTCTCGTCTACATTTCTATTCAGGTATAATACTAATATCTATTCAGATACGGAAGATTAGTTGACGATGACCGAGAAATCATCGGATATACAGGAACAACAGGATCGACATAAGAATAATTTCATTATAATTAATTATATTCGAATCAGCTATGTATAATACGAAGACCCAGATCTTCTTTTAATTATTCCTGTACGATACGATGTTAACGAAACAAAATGCTAGAACAATCGCATTTGCATTTTACGTGAAGCACTCCCTCCATCACGAGATGAGGTTGAGATGGACGATCAGGAGTTTACGTAAAGACCAATGCATCAATACCTCGATTGCTTGACTCATTGTGGAAACGGCGTGTGCCGGGGTTGATATAGTCGGACCCTTTGTCATGTTTTGGAATGTGTGCAGGAGCATGCATATTACATCATTTCTAATATACCCAGGGCTTTCTTTTCTCTTTAATTCGGATGATTGATTGATATAAGGATTGATACCCTATGTACTTAGTTTGCCTTTATATATATAGGTGTGTGCATGTTTTCGTTCCTATGGTGATAGGAGAAATTTATCAAACAGATATTGGCCAAAAATTAGAGCTTCATACAATTTTATTCACTTTAACATGAGTGTTATGTATATACCATTGACCTCATTCTTTGAAGTTTTCTGATGTAGATCGATGGATGAGTGAGCTTTGCGGCTATCCATGGCATACCGTCTCGACATTAGCAGGAGGAATTCGAAGGAAGTAATCTTTCGCGCATGAATTGACGTTTACCGTATTTGATGAAAAACCAGTTCCATTCCGCGTTTCAAACAGCAGTTCTAGATCTAGTTGTGGTTATGCCGCCTTGGAATCTCGATGGTCATCAAAACTACCCAGTCAGCCTTGAACTGATCAGATAACCACCCGGCCCATTGGTATTAGTCTTTAGATCAATGGGAAAGTAGAACAAATAAACTTGTTACACTCGGTCTGCCCCTATACTAAGGACTGGTGTTCTGCGATGCTTCTTCATATGGATAGTTCTTCATAGCCTTTCAAATACTGCATGGTTCCAGTCTACCAAATGTGTATATCAAACTATAATCGGCTAGTTCTCGTACATCCCTAGTTTGAAAAAGGTGGCCGTAGACTTATCGCTCAACTTCCCCGAATTGCTATGTTGGATTTCAGAGATATGAATGTGATGTTTGTTCTGTGGTAGGAACTATGAGTACAGCCCATCACTTCATAAGGACATGGTATAAGGAGCTGAAAACACGGCCGGCGGCTCGAAAGTCGCGACTCGGCTATTTCGGTCCTCCATTGTCTTTCACATCCTAGAATGAGTATCTTTTGCAATGCGGGCTGCCAAAACGACGGTGTGTTGAGGGAGGAAGCCATGCTCAAATCAACAGAAGGTGTCTTGATATTGATATGGAACTGCAGCTGTGAAGCTACCTAAAGTATTCAGATGGCATGAATGATCAAAATCCTTCTTCGTGGATCTGAAGTTTTCTCGATATGGGTGGTAGGTAGGTAGGCAAACGGTAAGTTTTGGTTGGGAGACGGCAAAAGTCTGGAAAATGATATATGATATTTGTGGAATGAATATCCTGTTTAAATGTGCGAGACTGGATTTTTGATATTACTGCATTCTTACAGGAGTATATACGCGGCGATATATTATACAAGAAGGCTGGTAATCTAAAAGAAGGTTAAGTATTCAAAATATACAAATTGAAGCTTGCGATAGGCGAATTTGAAAACTTGAAACTTGAGAATCCGAACATTTCAGTATATTGCTAGTAATATTGAAGCGGTGATAAGAAACTGTGCACCAGATTCAGAAGATGGGGGCTATGCTGAGGTACTTAGAGGGGGATGTTGAGGATGTGTGTTGAGGAGGTGGGTGGATGAAAGGACGAGCGTGTATTTTTTATGTTGAAAAGTTGAAGCTTGTCATAAGTCCTGATAGTACTGGAACCTAGTCTGTATATAAGCCCACTTCCGTACCGTTATATCAAGAACTAACCACAAAGTGAAAGTTTGCCCCTTAAATGATTAAATCTTGCCACGTTAATGATGGCCAACATCAACATTTCTTTCACAGAATCCGTTCGGTGAACATTATCTTTCTCACATGGTCTGAGGGTCCTAGCTGCTCCATACTAACATCTCCTGTGGAAACACAATACCAAAATTCCCCGAATAATTTTACGGCTACTTTCAGAGATCCCTTGTAATCTTCATCCTCTTCATCCTCAATCTCATCCTCGTCTTCATAACACTCAGTCGGCGCCCAATAACGAGTATCTACGGCATAGACGAATGGGATATCACCTTTCGCTGGACCTTCCAAAACAGATGCAAAGACCTCTTCATTGACTAGGAGGAAGAAAGCATGGGTGGGATTCAAACCGGGATCCATATTGTGAGGTGGCTTAGTATCTCGAACAACAGAGATGTCTTTAAACTTTCTTCATAGTTGTCGGCATCTATCTCGTGGGGTAATGATTGACCTGGTCCACAAAAATGACAAGCACATACATGTTCAACGAGGGCATATCCGCACCCTCTTCCGCTTCAAACCACCACACCTTTCACAAGAATCTGGCGCCATCCGAATCTACACCATGTTTCGATTGTTCCTCCCACGTCTTCATAACAAGAGTATCAAACGCCCGTCTAAAGAGATTCCAGCGAGTAGAGTCGCATGCATCGTAACATGTGCGACAGGCTACTGAGCCAGTATAATTAACAGGACATGATGAAGCGGATTGTTCTAACCACTTCTTGAATCCATTCTGCCCAGTATCCATCGTCTTTCAGATCAGGATCAGAAGCATTCGTAGAGTTCGGGGTTGTTATGTTTGACATGGTACGCTTTTGTGAGAGCGACTGTTGTGGAACTGAAGAGAAGCGCTTGCTCAAACGACGACAGGAATAATGAGAATGAGATTTGCTATATGATTGGGTGAATATTGAAGTTCGTCGGGAGAGCACTGCTTGGAGAGTGCGACGCATTGTTGAGGTAGAGAAAGGGTGCGTAGTCATGGTCAAGGCCTGCATCGATGATAAACAAGACAGAGGTAAGAGAAGTTTCATCCTAGAAATTCACTTGAACAGGGTACAATAAGTTAATAAGAAGGTGAATATACTTTTCTGGAGTATTGGCATGGTAACAAGCCAGCGTTTCTCAACTTGATTGGTGCATTGGAGCTCTCATCTCGTGTTTGAGCCATCTCTTCCTATCGTCCTTTCGAAAGATTCCCTACATCCATGGTCACTTAATTCCTATGGAGCTTTTCTTTCCAGTAACGTTATGATCATGTATCACATCCAAAGATAGTCTTATTATCAGATGTACATTGGGTACTCTACTGATGTTCCAAAAGAGTTATGGAAGTAGGTAATTGCGGTGCAAGAATTACGGTGACCACAATCGAAAGATTGCCGAGCCAATCGTCGTAATGGTCCACCATATCATCCTGGCTTCCGCAATACACTGCACTGCCTCCCGCACGTTTGTCGACGGGACAAATCCATGTCACACCAGACCGCTGAATTGTGATCCCCTTGTTGTGTTACTATCTGAAGCTTCTATGTGGTTCAATGTCACTCAGCCTTCAAATCCCAATGCCAATAATACCGGCAAGGGAAGAGTCCGGATCACCTCGTGTGTCCACACCTTGGCTAAATAAGGTCTATATAGAGTTATCCCCGGTTACGTTGACAGCCACACTTGGCAATCGATCATCCGAAAATTGAGTTCATCATGAAGTTGACATGTCACGTCAAAACATTGTTTCGCCATGAGACGCAGGAACCCATTTCGCTACCGACATGATAAGATCACCAACATCACTCTTCACATACCCATTCATCTGGTAAACTGAGGTACGCTTTCTATCTTTCAATCGATATGCCCCAGTTAATAGCGATCTAATTAGAGCTTAAAATTGCTTAACATTGCTTAACATTGCTTAAATTTGTTACCCCTGCTTACTACAAACCAAATTAAATGAATACGGTACCTCATGCATATGAGAACATCGCTAAGCTAGCGATTAGTACTTCGTGAAGCTGTTGAGTTTTTCTACATGATTGGAGTTTGAGCTTGTAGGTTCTACATTACAAGTGAAGTCATGATCCCGGAGAGCTTCTTCCCGTTTTCTTCTTGTCCACAACTTAGCCTTCTTAATCTTCGAGTATCTACAAAAGCCATCTGGTGTCACTGTAACATCATCGGATGTCACAGAGGACCATTTCTATCTTCAAATTCTCGAGGCATGATTCTGCGTTCTTAGACGCCTCCATTCTTCGTTCCCAATACAAATAATGGTTCCTCAAAGACATGTTTTGGGAAGACCACGCAGTTATGTTATCTCTTAGTTATCTTCTTCTGCTCTTGCTAAGCGAGGCTGTGTGTTGTCTTGATATGTCACTTACTTTTAAGTTTTGCCATATAACCTCGTCTTGATATGTCACTTACCTTTAAGTTTTGCTATATTACCCCGCACCAAAGCTGTCTTGATTAACCCTACTAGAGGAGCTAGTGCTAATGAACATATAAACCGTTCTGCTTCCTTCATTGTTTCATAACTTTCGTCCTGTTCAGTAAGTCAATAAATCAACTGCACAGCGATGTTTTTTTCACGCTTTTTGGCTGGTGCTATTCTGACTTGTAAGTGATGCTTCCCCTGTTTCTCCAATCACCACTAATCGATTAGCATCGGTAATATCCGCTCAGAATGTCTCCTACTGTACGGGTGATGTATGCTTTGCCGTCAATATACCAGCCTCGACTGCTTCGAATGGCTCAGGAGACATATATATACAGATGAGTGGACCAGATACAATGTCTTGGATAGGTATTGGACAAGGATCCGCTATGAGAGGTGCCAATATTTTTGTAATGTACGCCGATTCGACTGGGAACAATGTCACACTCAGTCCTAGGCTTGGTGTTGGGAATGTAGAGCCAAATTCCGACACTTCTGCTCAAGTCACTTTACTGGATGGTTCTGGTATAATAAATGGCCAAATGATAGCCAAATTTCGATGTATGTTCGGAATCCAAACTATCTGGCACCTATTCTAACCATTCGGGCAGGTTCAAATTGTGATAGCTGGAGCGGCGGATCTATGAGCTTCACTGATTCTTCCTCGGCATGGATTTGGGCCCATAAGACCGGCGCTGCATTATCGTCCATCAGTGTTGATGCAGATATCGATTTTCATGACGCAAATGGAGTAGCCACTTTGAATTTACAGACAGCCATCGGCGGAGAAAGCACAAACCCATTCTTGACTGTTGGATTTGTTCCCACGCCCAGCCAAACATCCTCTGGCGCTAGTGGTGCTGCGACTGGGTCATCCAAAATATCGAGAGTGACCATCGCGCATGGCGTTTTGGCTTCCCTTGCCTACGTTATTCTCTTCCCTTCAGGTGCAATCGCAATTAGGATTTTTAGTTTCCGCAATTTATTATGGCTCCATGCCGGTTGGATGATTGGCTCTTATATAATTGTACTTGCGTCACTTGGAATGGGGGTATGGATAGCATACATGTGTGATGTCCTCGATAGCACCCACTCAATTATCGGCCTTGTTGTGGCCGGATGCTTACTTCTTCAGCCTATCACTGGATTCCTACACCACATGTTGTATAAGCGTCGTGGTGGTCCCAATGTTGCAACTTACCCCCATGTTTGGTGGGGTCGCGTAGTTATTACTCTTGGGATCATCAACGGTGGCTTGGGTCTGAGGTTAGCTGACAATAGTAAGAAGGGTGAGATCGCATACGGCCTGATCGCGGGTTTTATATGGGTTTTGTGGGTAGCAGTCATACTTTTTGCAACTGTGAAAATCGGAGGACGACGGGGCAGTGGTATGGATGGATCTGGAGCCTCGGTAATCAGGGAGAAGTCAAGTACGGAAGGATCCTACTTCCACAACAACTCCTCGCCTCCTCAATCTATGCAAGGAGCACATGATCCTGCTAGATTACCTACATCTCATCGTATTTAGACCTCATGGCGTTTTTCAATACGTCAAGCTGTGTTGGTTATGTATGACAGAAGCCACAAAACCTGTCAAGTGGGCTGGATGCTAGTAATAACACAAGATGGATTGGGGGAGGGGAGGGCGGGAGGCGGATTTGTTTTATTGTTTTAGCGAATATTTATTATCTTCACCTTGGACACTGGTTTTTGAAACAGTAAAATTTTGACTAAATTAAATTTATTAGTTCTACCACTTAAAATCTTGATTCTACTCAACTTCTTCAAATGGTAGTGAAATTTCAAAGATTCTCACGTGGCAAAGATTGAGGGATGAGTTTAGCGAGGGTCGATTACATAATGGCACTGCATCCTAGCATCCTAGAGACTACCTAGTGATTCCCAATTGATATTGATCTCTTACAAACTATAAACAACTTATTTCACATCATCAATTTCACTATGGGAGTAGGACGCGTGCTCGTTATCGCGGGTTCTGATAGTTCCGGTGGAGCGTTAGTACTCTGATATCTTCCCCTTCCGCACTTTTACCCCGCCACAGACTAATGACTATCATCTCAGCGGAATCGAGGCCGATCAAAAAGTGATTGCTGCACATGGATGCTATGCTATGACCGCCACAACAGCCTTGACGGCTCAGAATACTCTAGGTGTTGAGGATATTCATTATGTTCCTGCCGAGTTTGTTGGGAAGTTGATTGATGTGTCGATTGGGGATATGGGAGTTGATGTAGTGAAAACTGGTAAACCACCCTATACTTATATTTGACTTGACAATGAGATAATCATGAATCCGGATAGCCCAGATACTGACGATATGTTAAGGTATGCTAGCTTCTGGAGAGACAGTAGAAGTGGTGGCAAAAGCACTAAAGAGACATCACGTGAAATCTTTGATTGTTGATCCTGTGCGTTCATTTTCCCATAACGATGTACAAATTGTCTGACATCCGAAAGGTAATGGTCTCTACAAGTGGATCACAGCTTCTTCCTTCTACAGCAATCCGCCAGCTACGAGAACTTCTGTTTCCCTATACCACTGTTCTCACACCCAATGTACCTGAAGCGCAACTACTCCTTTCCGATGCTGGCAAGTTTGTTGAAGAACCTAAGAACTTGGATGACTTGAAAGAGATGGCGAAATTAGTGCAATCACTAGGCCCGAAATATGTATTAGTGAAAGGAGGGCATCTGCCTTTACAGAAAGATGGGACAGTGGCGACAAAGGAGGAGGAAAAGGAGCTTATGGTTGATATCTTGTACGGAGAGGGCGTCATCACAGAAATCCGGACTAGGTATCAAAAATCGCGGAATACCCATGGAACGGGATGTTCGATGGCCTGTGAGTTTATTCATGTTACCCGGTGAAACACAAGCTAAATGGGATTAGCTGCCATTGCTTCGAACATTGCGAATGGACTACCCGTAGTACAAGCCGTGAGAAGTGCTTGTCGATACATTGAAGCAGGAATACGAACAGCGCCAGATTTGGGGAAGGGCAATGGTCCGATTAATCATTTCCATTCGACTTACACCTTACCTTTTGCTCCGTAAGTCTCTCTTCCCAGGTGATGCTAAGTCCCTGAACTGATCATTGCAGGGGTCACTTTGTGGAATACCTTCTGGACAGACCGGATGTCAAAGGAGCTTGGCGAGACCATACTGAGCATGCATTTGTTAAAGGACTTGGGGACGGGACCTTACCACTGGAGTCATTCAAGTACTACCTTATTCAGGATTATCTTTACCTTGTCTGTCAGAGCATTGAAACTTCTATCTATCCGGCCTAACAAGGTACAGGTGCAATTCGCTAGGGCTACTGCTTTAGCCTCGTACAAAGCCAAAACCATGGAAGGCATTGCTGCAGTATGTATCTAGACCCTTCTTGGACAAGCTGTGTGCTAACTCTCGATACAGTCTGCAGGCATCGTGCTTCACATTCATCGAGAGATGGCGCTGCATATCAATTATTGTGAGGGTTTTGGTATGACGAAAGCAGAGATAGAAGCTTGTGAAGAGAGCCAAGGTAAGCTTCTTCGCGTTGATAAATCGAGTTGGCTCTGACGGTGTCGAAATAGCGTGCACAGCATACACAAGGTACATGAATCTTTCTACCTAATAGCAATGGTATACTGAAAGTGATAGGTATGTTCTCGATATCGGACAATCTGAGGACTGGTTGGCTCTTCAAATATCCATGGCGCCTTGTCTTATCGGCTACGGGGAGATAGCAAAGCGATTACATGCAGACCCAAAAACCAAACGGGAAGGAAATATCTATTGGAAATGGATAGAAAATTACGTTGCAGATGATTATACGGAAGCAGTGAAAGCTGGATCAGGTATGTGAAGAAGTAACCCTATAGCTCATGGGGATTGGACAGTATTGACCATTTGGGCAGCTTTGCTTGAAAAACACGCTCTGCTGCAGTCATTCCACAGGATAGAGGAATTGGTCAAAATATTTGTTCATGCAACAAAGGTACGCATCTTTTGACTACTGTCTGTAATTGGAACACCCTTTTCAGAGATCAATAAGCTGCGTACTTCCATACGCTTCCCCTTGACTTTGAACCTGCCTGCGTTGTAATATGGGGGTAGCAAACACACCTAGACAACGGGCGTAAGAGGAATACCTACCGCGCAGCACAGAGAAAGCCTTAGAAACTAATACAGAGACGAGAGAGGTACACGTAAAACATTTACTAATTGCCTGACAGATGGAGACAGGATTCTGGGACATGGGTGGCGGTGGAGGGAAAAATTGAGATGTAGAATCTTCAAGGTACAGTACCGGGTCCGCAGTAGGTAGCTTTAAGGTAGGTAGGTACAAAGTACGGAGTAGATAGTAAGGACGGCAAAAAAGCTTTCAGACATGGATGTACCCCCGTAAGAGGGACAGATAAAGAAAAATTGCATTCAGAGATTTACAGTATTTGGGAACAATCTGATTGTTTTGATTGGATGAAATAAAAAGAAAAATTCAATTGAAGACAAGATCTTATTTCAGGGTCCAAGAACAAGGAAAATGGATAACACTAAAACTTGATTGGGCTTAGATAAATATATCTCGATCTAGCCCCAAAGAGACTTAGCGTAGCTTCCTTTCTACTTTTTTTTACTCAACCCTCTTCTTCCTCACTTTCCATTACTTTTTGACTTCTTCTCATCAACAACAATAATTTCATCTGCCAGACTTCTTCTCATCAACCCAAGAAGTCATTTTTGCAGTAATCATCAAAACGAAGTTCAAATCTCCATCATAACGTCACACACTCTTTCAACTTCTCACACTCTAAAACCATCGTAAATATGTCATACGGAGGAGGATATGGTGGCGGCGGCCGTGGTGGCGGTAACGGGTACGGAAATGGAGATTCCTCATATGGCAGAGGCAACTCTTACTCCAATAGATATTCAAATGGGTATGCAAAAACCTATGAGTTTAGATATTGTTGATAAGTTGTCGCGCATCGCGTTGCATTGTGTTGAGTGTGTGGGAGATAAGGCTAAGGCCAGCGTTTCGCTTTGAAGCCGAAGCCTAATCTCTCATCGCGATCACAACGTAGCACCATTTTATTCCATTCACTCACTCCGACTTGCTGATATTTACTGACGTGTAATTTATAGTGGATCTAATGGATACTCTGGAGGCGGTGGAGGAGGCTACGGAGGTGGCAGAGGTATGCAAACAAATTTTCGCTCAATGAAAATCATTACTAACAATTTTCACAGGCGGCGGTGGTGGTGGTGGAAATGTCAACGGCTACTCTGGCGGAGGTGGTGGTGGATACGGAGGAGGCGGTGGATATGGCGGTGGTGGTGCTGGTGGAGACCGCATGAACAACCTTGGTGCTAACCTCCAAAAGCAAAACTGGGGTAAGTTTGAGAAGCTGTTGATGAATATTCCGTAGAATAGAATGCTAACTTCCACACGCAGATCTCAATACCATGCCAAAGTTCGAGAAATCTTTCTACAAGGAGGATCCAGTCGTTGCTGCTCGTTCAGAAGAAGATGTTGCCAAATTCAGAGCTCAGCACAACATTGCCGTTCAAGGCCCAAACATTCCAAAACCTGTCGAGACCTTCGATGAGGCTGGATTCCCTGCATACGTCATGACCGAAGTCAAGGCCCAAGGGTTCCCAGCGCCTACTCCAATTCAATCTCAAGGTTGGCCTATGGCTCTCTCCGGACGTGATGTTGTTGGTATTGCCGAGACTGGTTCCGGAAAGACCCTCACCTACTGTCTTCCAGCTATCGTACACATCAACGCACAACCACTTCTCGCTCCTGGTGACGGCCCAATTGTCTTGGTCCTTGCACCTACCCGTGAGTTGGCTGTTCAAATTCAACAAGAAATCACCAAGTTCGGAAAGTCTTCCCGTATTCGCAACACTTGTGTTTACGGAGGTGTTCCTAAGGGTGGTCAAATCCGCGATCTCGCAAAGGGTGTTGAGGTCTGTATTGCCACTCCAGGTCGTCTCATTGATATGATTGAGTCTGGCAAGACCAACCTCCGTCGTGTGACATACCTTGTTCTCGACGAGGCTGATCGTATGTTGGACATGGGTTTCGAGCCACAAATCCGTAAGATTCTTGGACAGATCAGACCAGATAGACAAACTTGCATGTGGTCTGCTACCTGGCCCAAGGAAGTTAGAGCCCTTGCCGCTGATTACTTGAATGAATTCATCCAAGTCAACATTGGTTCTTTGGAGCTCTCTGCTAACCACAGAATTACTCAAATCGTCGAAGTTGTTTCTGAATTTGAGAAGCGCGATAAGATGACCAAACATTTGGAAAAGATTATGGAAGATAAGGATAACAAGATTTTAATCTTCACAGGAACCAAGCGTGTTGCTGACGATATTACCCGCTTCCTTAGACAAGATGGATGGCCTGCGCTTTGTAAGTACTGTTGTGAACTTCCATGTGAACATCACTAACAAGATTTAGCTATTCACGGTGACAAGCAACAAAACGAGCGTGATTGGGTATTGAATGAATTTAAGACTGGAAAGAGCCCGATCATGGTTGCTACTGATGTAGCTTCGCGTGGTATTGGTATGATTAAAACCCCCTTCCCCCTCACAGCAACGTTCAGCAGCCTTTTTAGTGGTGCTTTACTCTCGACGCTTCGGCGCTTCCTAGATTGCGTTATATTGCCCGGGCCCTTTCGTGTCTTTCGGTTCTCTAATTCTAGGGTGTCTTGGATCCTTAAGTGTAGCATAACCGTGCTGCGCTCGTAATTCCAAACTCGACAGTACTTTAACAGGTACCAGATATGGAATTGGCATTTCTTGACTTGATCAAGCTGTCTCCAAGACTCCCATCCCAGAGAGCCTGGATGTGTTGGATCACCTACCCTGGCATAAGCCGCATTGGACAGTTTCATGCCAGTCGCCGAGAGAGTATTGGATGCAATCAAATGCAGCTTCTTCATGAGCCGCCCTGGACCGTTGCTATACCAATTTTTTCTGTTCTTGCTAACCCATCAATGAAGATGTCCGAAACATTACCCATGTGTTCAACTATGACTACCCTAACAATTCGGAGGATTATATCCATCGTATTGGTCGTACAGGTCGTGCTGGACAGAAGGGAACTGCAATCACTCTCTTCACCACTGACAGTATGTCTCCCGTTCACTTTGACGTTTACATTAGCTAACAATATCCCCTAGATCAAAAGCAGGCTCGTGATCTCGTGAACGTTCTCACTGAAGCTAAGCAGGTCATTGATCCTCGCCTTGCTGAGATGACTAGATATGGTGGTGGTGGTGGCGGAGGTAGAGGTTACGGTGGACGTGGCTACGGCGGTGGCCGTGGACGTGGTGGCGGTGGTAAGTTATCCTAAATCCCCCTACCTTCTTACTCTTCCTTATTCCATCAAATGATGGGAGTAACAGAGCCGCTGGTAGGCAATTTTTCATCTTCTAACGCTGCTCCTTTAGGTGGAGGCAGACGTTGGTAAGATGTCTTATCCCAATCGGTCGAAACGGAGTTATAACAACAACGACTATCGATAATCATCCTTGATGACGACGAAAACACGTATACTCATCCCATGGTCGTTTTGGCGTTCTGGTTCTCTTAAAAAAAGGGTAGGGGGGTAGAACTGCCTTACGTGATATCTGCGCACCCTTTCGAAAATTCTTCTGTAATCTGACCTTTCTTTCTCTTTTATTTTATGAAAAAATTGGGTGGCATTGCCATGAATTAGACTGAAGGCTGAGGCTGGGTGGATGGTATTATAGATTGCTTCACATTTCCATGTCCATCTGACGGAGAGATGAAGGCTAGGATTTGTATGTGCTTTATCTTGCGTTCCTTCTTTCATAACTAGAATGCTCTCTGTAGCCAGTTTTAACTAGAAAATATCTCGTATTAGATCAAAAATAGTATAAAAGTATGAGATCGCTTTCTTCCCGATCATTAATATTCTATAAGACCTTATGGTGTGAAAGCTTTTGTACTCTGTTATCTACAAAATGTAGGATAATTCATTGGCCAAGATGGCAGAGCCAAATTGATGCTGTGGATTTGGTGCAAGTTCTTGCCAAAGTCCCAGTTAGTGCATGCGCGCAGATCAGTTTCATCCAAAAAAAGAGGAAGAAGACATCAATCATCTGGATGTGGACGAAAAAACAAGTACACAATTCACTCTTTCAAGTAAATAGAATGCAGTTTGTTTTCTTGATTTGAACTTGAACTTAAATCATTACGAATCTGATTCGACGTCGGGTATCGAATAGAGTGTTTATTTTTGGTGTCCCTGTTTTTTGGTTTTGCTGGAGGTTGTATTTTGGATAGTAGAGTAAAAGCTAGATATGAGCGAGGTATAAGAGATCTCTTTACTTCTTCAGACAAGCTATGGCTCCAAGGTTCTGCTTGCATCATAAGTAGCCATCTTACATGACCTAACTGGGAGCAGTGGTGCTAGAAACCCGACTCAGTCGAGGTACGTCGATGCACCAAGAAAGGATTTCCTACGGTGTAGCGCATCAAAATGGAGTATGTGTACGTGTAGAGTTTATACTTCTTCGCGATAAATTTCGCTGGCTACTGTGTTTATGCAGTGGCTATTAAGGCCAGGGATGGAGGAACTCAAGAGGGTTAGCATTACGGTTGTTTAATTAGCGAGGTGGTCAGGGGGGTGATAGATTTCTAAGGAATAAAAGGTTTCATGAAACGTGCTAAATTTGGTAGATTCCGAGACAAGTTTGTGTTAACTAGGATTCTATGAAACAATTGTTTGTACTGTCAGTCTTTGTTGCTGACACGGGCTTGGTTCTCGGCAAGCTATGTATTGTTGTGGCAATTGTGTGCCTCAAGCTTCATGATTGATCCATGGAGAGAGATGTTGTCCTTACGCGACTGTCGTTGTGGCTTTTGGTGGGTGATGAAGCTTCTTTGGCAGATTCTTGGAAAGCTTGTAAGGATCCCTTTTATGTGGGAATGCAAAGTGATGCTAAATTATCCGAGTCTATGCATGCACAGAAATCTACGTCGCTGTGAGAAAGATGTCCTTGCAAGCGATTGAGGGTTTTGGTGCGTTATGATGAAGTGTACATATACTAAGAAAGCCGACATCAACTAGTGAATTATTGAACGTTTGGGGCGGCAACGAGTTCGATAATCGATAATATAACTACCGAAAAACCCAAGAGAATCGTCAAACTGCTCTCATCTGTTGGTGCTATTTTGTGAGGCATTCAAAACGCAGATGCTAAAATGTGTACAGGCTGTGATTTCGAGAGACAATTTTACGAATGAGTAACGTCTCTGCGGGCGATGAATATTGAAAACCCGGGCTTATCTAGCCTCGTGAAAAGGGGGCAGTTTATTCCCTGAGTAAAGGTATCTTCAAAACTGCAACATTCAAGCCACAAAAAGTAGACAAGAGAATCGTCGTTGACTATATATTTCAGAATGGAATCTTATTCAAACTTATTCATACGACAGCAGGCAATGTAAAGACTTTGCAATCTGGTTCGATGCCCTCGCTTCCCATAATAGCACCCGAAGTTTGGGGTCAATTCAAGTAGGAACAGACTGTGATCTCAGTGACAGGCAAGCTCAACAACATCAATCATCACATCCAAACTATTGTTGGCTCGCATGGTATCCCTACAGCGCTATTTAGTCTGGGGGAACATATCTCTAACATGAAAGTTTTGTTTCACAACCCTATAACTCAGAACTTTGTCGGGAAGAATATATGGCGGGTTCTCTCACAGGAAGAAGGGGCAGAAAGCTTCGGCGAAATGATGGCAGATTTTGAATACAAGAATCAAAATATCGCAATATTGCCACAGACATACGCAAATGTCTTATTACAACTTGCTGCGTTTGAAGCACATGCTCAAACTCAAGGGTTTGTGGATCGGTTCGGGCTTTTCGTCGATGGCATGTTCATGAGCATGGATCAGCGAACAAGTAAGTTTGTTACAACAAAATAACAGAGATTATTGCCTTGGTGAGATCAGTATGTGGGAGCGTGAGGTAAATAAGAAGAGATTGGAAGATGTTCGAGCTGATGCCTGTAATGTAATTAGTAGTAATTGGTTGTATAGCCCGCTGGGAAGTTGGAAACCAAGTCGGCTCATTTCCCTCATCCAAAAAGAATGAGACGAGTTTTAATTCAAGGGTTCACAACAGATCCAACATTGTATTCACAAGAGAAATTTGGTTGTAATGGAATGTCAGAACAGTTGAATGTAGCAAATAAAACCGGACTACCTAGAGATAATAACTGACGTGATGTCTCTTTGAGCTCGATTGTTTTGTATGACCCAGCGAGCCGCTATGCTATTGAATTTACCAAAAACATATCTAGCCGGATGCAATATCGCAATCAGGACAAGTCGGACAATTCAGACAATATCCATCTAATTCTCGGTACCGAGGAGGAGGGTCGGACATTCCTTTTCCGGTTTGTTGATCGCCTACCGGTATTCATCTTGGCAACCAACACAAAATCAACGTACAATTCCTATGCCAGCTTCGCCAGCCAATACGCGGCGGTTACTAAATCTTTTCCACCTGGTTGTGGATGTATCTAGTACGCCGACACTAATCTGGAGCTTGGTTTAGCATTTGATCTTTGTGGCAACTTTAATCTTATGCTTCAACTGAGTGAGTGGGACCAAAGGGTTTCTTCGGTTCAAGAAGTGGAAGTACGGATCCGTATATGAGAATGAGGAATCCTTGACTTGCCATTGGAACTTCGAATAATTGAAGGTTCACTGGTGGATGTTGCATTTATCAATATAACTTGGCTTGTGTAGTACCAATTTCTCAACATGTGGCGCAAGCAGACCGTTTCGGATCAATCTGTGTTACAAGATGTAGCCATCAAACAGAATCCGTCCACCTGGAAAACAACGCAATATACATCGTCGGGACCGAATCCAACATCTGAGGCATTATTCTAATTTGTTGGTGTTCAGCTCCTTCGTGTACTCAATTTTTAGTATCAAATGTAGAAACATCCAACTGCGCCGTCGTCATAAGCGACCAATCATTTCACATCTGACGGCCCGCCTCGCGAGATATGGGATGAACTTCGGGACCGACAAGATGTCGATATGCAACATTTTTTTTTTTGGAAAGAAACTGTCCATTGGCTGACATTGGTGCTATATCCATTGCTTTGCGAAGCACATGTAGTTCTAGATGCTTCGCCCGACTCGGACAAACAGATGGTAATATATGGAGCTTGCCCCCATCATGGAAGTCAAAGGGGAATGCTTTTCGCCAGTGCTGACAGCATTTTAGATGCAGTCTTTGATAGTATATGCTACGTTTTCCTCGCAATCACAGTTATGTTGATTTTTTTGGCTCTGGTTTCTTTCTTGTTGCTCCTCCTTCCGTCGAGCCGATACAAACTTCCATATTGTTGCACAAATGCTGGAAAGGGGGCTCAATGATATTCCCCCACCTGTGACATTGAATATCATGTTGCCAAATCCTCATGACACAATACCGACACAAAAATACACAGGATACATTCTTGAAAGCTTAGCAGTGCGGCAGCAAGGAGTTTGCTACGCCGTGATTCTTTGTGCTACTGATGTTGAAACTTGGACTTGGGGGCCTTCAGACGTATGCATTATGTGATATACAATATTACAAAGCATATCATCAAGACTTTGTAGTTTTTGAACTTCAGCCAATTTCCTCATACCTTATTACTGAATCTGATTTTGGCACTCCTCGTTCCCGTTATGTCTTGCTTTCAGTCTCTCCTCTCACAATAATGCTATGCCACCAACTGCCGCAAGTAGCAACCATTGGTCCATGTTGTCTAATGCAACATTTGAATCCAGCATTGTTTTGTTACATCAGTTTCCATCCATACACCATGTAAATCTTTACATTATTTCATTACAGATCAAACAATGAGTCTCTCAACTCCGGAGACCAAAGCATTGCTAAATGAATTCAACTACAAATGTAAGTTGAGGAGCGCTCCGGCAGTCTATGCTCCCACTGTTGTAGCGAGCCTTCCCTCTTTTCAGCCTTCAATAATGAACGTTTAATCTCTACAGTCACACATTGAAAAGGCTCATTCTATTCTCCGGCATGATCGCCCTCACTTTTATAAATTCCGAATTCTCCGTGTACAAAAGTAGTATACATGATACCCTCACGTGGTTCGGACACAACGGCAATCAAAATACTCCGACTCGGGTTATTTGGGCGGGTCAGCTATACGTACAAAACCCTTCATTGTTTACTATACGGCAGATCTAGAAACAACTTCCCATCCAGAGGTGGGCGCATACACGACTCCTTATCTCACTTTCCTCGTAACTGACATCAATCCACCTTTACTTCAAAACGATATATCCACCGTCGGTCCATTCCCCTAGCACATCCAAGCACGGTATTCTTTATGTGAGAAAAGGCCGCAATAGTCAATAATTATCGTTTAGACTCTTATGTACTCCGTCTTTAGCCTTATCCGCGTCTCCTTTTCTCTTAGCATTCCTGGAGAGTAGTAGATCTCTCTGCAAAAAAGAAAACAAAAAACATACAACAGTGGGGATTCGCTGGTGGTCACCCACCCAACTACTAATCCACCGATCTGAAGCTTGTGTATGGCAGAGCGGACGGGATGCCCAATTCTCTTCAGTCTGTGGTCGTATGTGATAGACATTGACAGGGTTAAGTATATGTAGCAGCAGATGAATGTATCTGGCAATTATTACAGGAAGAGCTAAGTAATCCATTGGTTCCTCCTCATCAGCATGATGGGACCCTCTATCACTCAATTCCAACTTTGGTCTCATGTCTTTCTCCAGCTCCTTCGCACCATCATGCAGCGTATTCAATGTTACCCGCAATTCTTTTCCTCCCTAGATCTTCTATGCAACGTTTCAATTAGTTTTTTCCTTGCCCTTTCGTTTCCTCCTCCGTACCGTAGTTCCTCTATCCGAGATCTTCGAACGCAGATCATTGGAGTTTTCCTGCAATGGCCTTCAGTTGCGCCATCAAATTCTGCATATCATTTTTGATGACTGCGATGATATCACTTCGCATGCTGATAGAAGCAATCTAACACGCCTGGTCTCGTTGAGAAGAGATCTAACTAGGTATCAGAGAACTCCATCGCGTATCCCATGTATCGTATCGCTATCATACTACGACACACAGCCTGGAACTGCACCATTCTTTTGTTGGTTTTTTTTAGTAAGTTGTTCAAATACTTCTTCGGATACATATTTGGCAGCTTCTGCATAACATTTGGCCCGATCATCTGAAGCCACTCCAAAAGCCCGTTGTGAATGGGTTCATCATTTATGCGACATAGTACAGCCAGTTGATGCATTGCTAGTAAAACTCTCCTTCTTCCTTCCCTTCTACTTTGATTCATCTCACATCTCTACCATCTTCGTGATTAGGCGAGATGCAAGTATGAGTTTGAGCGTATCCAGGCCTGGTGTTGAATCGGAATTAGCATGAAAGTTGCAAAAACGCAGCTGATTAGGACGACTGGTATTATGATTGACCAACCAGCCTGCAACGCGCAAAAATATGTGAAATACTTGTACCTACCAAAGCGACATGAAAAGTGATGCCGCCATTTCCATTGAATGAGACTTGAAGATTCGAATCAATATTGCGATACAGAGCTGACTAACATCTCTCGAGCGGACTTTCGGAAGGATCGTGGGTTTTGATCATTCCATTCTTAGCGAGTCTCATCACGCTCCGGCTCATATCTGGCCTTGTTTTCTGCTTAAGCTTGATTCCGAGAGCGAGATGATAAGTGTAATTAGTTCTGCAGAAGTCAACCATCTTACTTTTTCGGTGATCAACATTCTTCACACAGTCCATCAATCATCGCGAACTTTGTCGCGATTGGAGGACATTCGGTTGCTGTCGACGGGAAGTTATAAGAACCTCATGGTACTTGCATACTACTTTATTTGAGGTTCTGCATCTGCAATGAGTAGGCCATGGCCAGAATGAAGGAGATAGGTATCGCATGGTCCATTAAACCTACGCACGTCGACCATACCTCAGATATCAAGACAAGCGAACTGCCCACCGTCCGTCAAGACGTAAAAATCTCGTACGATTGAAGATTCATATGTAGCTAGAAAATCGCATGTACTTGTTAGCATTCGCCTCAGACTCCTTACCCAAATCCGAGACACCTCACGGAACAATAATATTACATCCTATAGTATAAACATCATCTACCATTGATCATCCAGCAGTAACTCAAGTCCCAATACCCCATACGAAAAACACAAATCATTTACTCCTCCAGAACCTTCGCGCGACTTACCTCTCCTGGTTCAAACTACTCACTTTGTTACTGATTCTTTCAAATCGCAAATTCCTGATAATAAAGACGTGTTCCATCTCTCAACGTATACAAAGCTTTGAACACTCCATTCCCCGTCTCCGTCCTTCTCCTTTCCCCATCTCAGTTTTTCACTCACTCTCCAAACATTCCACTCCCAACATCCCATCCTACTATCCATAACTTTAGACTCTAGAGCTTGAATCAAACCATACCAGAACTATCCATTCAGAGCAGACAGGAACAAATAGAGTAGTTGACTGAAATGACTCTAGATGTGAATATGAAAAAGGAGAGAAGAAGGGAATAAAATGTGAAAGAGAATTAGGATAAGGGAGATAATGTAAAGTACTTTACCTCTAGTTAACATCTACATCCACGTCCAAGATCCTAAAAGGCTCCCAATTCAGATAAAGACTCACTTCATCTTTATCCACCATTCTTCTTCATACTTCCATCCCTCTTCCCTCACTCCATTTTTCCTCACTCCATTTTTCCTCATTCGATCCGCTCCTTTGCGTCCCATCCAGTACCTGTCATTCACCCACCCCGTTTCCTCCCCTTCAGTACTCACCCACCACCCACTCCCCTTCCCTTCTCCCTCCACCCAAATTCCTCCCCAATTCCCTCCCCAATTCCCTTCTGCATCCCAAAAATAGGAGAACCACCCCGACCCACCTTAACCCAACCAACCCCCACAGAAAAATAAGAACAACAACAGAAATCACATACCATACACCACATACCGTCTCCATCTCCGCCCCTCTCTATCCCTCCCAAATAATCCCAAACACACCCTTTCAACCCCTAAATCCTCAAAGCCACTGAAGAAAGTCATTCGAACCCCTCCAAGCCCTCCAAATCCCTCTTCACTCTCCCTCTCCATCCTTATCCCTCTCTACCTTCATCTCGTTTCATTCCTCATTCTTCTCCACCCAT